TAATAATGAACTCTCATACAAATAATTGATAACATAAAATAAAGTTCTGTGTGATTTCTCATAGTACAAGAGAAGTAGACTTCTTATTCCATTTTAGAGCTTAAGTCTGTTTTAATGTGAGTGTCTTTGTTATAATATGGTAGATTTACAATTAGTGAACCACTCTTTGGTTCCCTATATTATTGAAGGACGAATGGGTCTAACCCTGGGCACATGTTCATACATGGGTTATTGGATTTAGATTGGAGATTGGTTAAATAATATACAAATCCTACAACGAATCATCCTCTACATAAACTGGGTGGAAAATTTTTTTCAAAAAATTGTCTTTGGCTGATCCACAATGATGTATAAAGATAACAAAGAGTTAATTAAATAAGAAAGATAATTATAAAGGTTGACTAATTTTTCAGTTAAAGTGGATATGTTAATTTTAGCATGTGCAATCTTTGATTTAACTAACTGTAGAGTACAAGTAAAATCAAATAAATAGCTATTTAATTCTGATAAAATAAAAATAGTGTAAATTTTTTAGAAATGGTGATTTTTTCTGAGAGTAAACGACCACTGTTTACTTTCAAAATCACTTCCAGGAAAACCTGATCAACGACTGAACGTATCCCGAAGGATTTTAGGGGTTTAAAATGGTCTATATTATGTTGGTCATGTTCATAGTCCATCTTTGTGTGGTATTACAGCACAGTCGGTTTAATGGTATGCGTTGTCTATTTTGTTCACATAGAACGAAAAAAGTACATTCGAAAAGATAACATCTTCTTTATTTTATAATCAAATAAAAGTAAACAAAATTAAATAACATGCTTCAGGAGGATCCCACACCAAACCTTAAACTGATAACTAAGAATATAAATTCACTTGAATCTTTACACCTCGAGGTATTTTCCAGCGATTTTGTTATGCGTATTTATTGTGTATTACCACTAAAATTCAAATCCCTTAGAAGTAAATTACTATAGACACACGGTAAACCAGTAGCAGTGGCAATGAAGGGCGAGCATGCCTAATATGATTGTGGTCGGAGATATTGGTAGTGAGTAGGCCTACTAAAAAAAGTAGTTAGTAGTAAAGTAGTTAGTAGTAGTTGTAGGGGTGGTGGTGGAGAAAGGGTAGAAATGCCAGCGGCTGATGTCTACCCCTTGAATGTGACATTTTATGGTCGCAGTGTGACTGCAAACGCGCCCTTTCACATAGAACAACGATTCTTAATTCGTTCCTCATTTCAGTGTGGCAAGTTTATTTCAACGAAAATTAACCTTTTTAAAACACTGATAAATAATAGAACTTTAATAGTGTATATTGTACCTAGGGCCGAAAAAATTTCGGTCCATGGTACGAACGCTATTTTTCACCACACTATACCCTATTACCACTATTCACCACAATAATAATGCACACTGATAGTCAACACAACTACAACTTTAAGGTTACGTGAAGAAATAATATTCGAGGAATCAGCAAAAATAATAATAAATAGTTGCTAGGCAACGGTGACAATAACACAATTCTATTGCAATGATATGGATACCGATTGTGTATTTAATATGCATTCATGTTTTTAGGGATGTAAAAACCTGCTCGGTCCCCAAATGACTTTGACAGCTGGCATGGCCAGCAAAACGTAGTAACTTTCAGCCACAAATTAACGTATATAAAACAGCTAAAAACATCATAGTGTGGTAAAAAAATTCTTAATAAGCCATGATATTATCCAGGCTTAATGACCACTATAGTATTAGAAAATTCATTTAGGATAAATAAAGAGGGCTTGTGTACATTGTTTCTTATAAAAAAAAACCCAATTTCATGTCATGAAGATATCATTTTGACTAAACAAATTTAAAAAAAATCAGTTTGATTTTTTTAATACTAGCCTATCTCAAATTCGCTCGAATGAGTTCCTCAAGAAATAATTACTTAAACTATTTATCTATTTCAGTTTCAGCATCAACTTGTTATGAAAGACTTTTGACTAAATGTTCACAAATGATTTGCGTTTAGTTTTGTTAATCATTCGGAGTAATTATGAGACTCTTGCATTTTAACTTTACAAATGACTCGGAAAGAGTATTCAAAATGGTGAGGGGTATCTATGTAATGACTTCTCTGAACTCATCAATTAGTTTGTTTAACTTAAGTCTCTAGAGGCTTAGGATTAATTGTTCAGGAACGGTGGGAAAGATCGAATACCACAGGATCTGAAATCACCCTGTTGTTCATTATTTAACAACAATGAGAAAATAGTATACGTACTACATGGACGATTGAACCAGTGTGCTAAGGTTTAAATGTTAGGATAAGGATTATCAAATGTGACGGGACTTAAAATTATTTTCTTTTTTAATCAAGATCTTTATTCAAGGAATTTCTATTGGAGTAAATATCAATACTGTCGCAGATTTAAACCATCGGAATAATAAGGATTTAAGAACAAAATCTTATGTACCTTTACGATCTATATTTTATCTACAAATATTAAAGGGGATGTGTCAGTAATAAAATAGTAAATCTAATTTAAAACTTAGAGATATCACATAAATACATAATACGACGAACACCAATTATACGTATTAAATACATTCATCAAATTATATAGACGGTTATAGCGAAAAGAAGCTTAAATAAGTTTTACAAGGTTGAAAAATAACAATGTAAGTTAGTTTATTATTTTTTACAACAACATTATAGTTTTGGAACGTAATGTATGTGATGTTTACAACTGGAACTGACGTAAACTGAGACGAGCAAAACAAGTAGATTTGTCAAACTGTTGCCAATAACAGAATCATGTTAGTTGTTAAGCTCTTTCATCAAATTTAATCTTACGGTTTCCACCACCTTATTAGTGAATTTCACTTATTGGAAATAAGCTATTACCGTAGGTCTCATAATAAGACTTAGCCCCGGGACCGATATACTTTTTCGTTTAGATGTCTCCAGAGGCCAAAAACAACATCCTGTATACCAAAAACGTGTAAACCTACGTTTATTCGAACGAGTTTGCGAACCAGCATGATCTGGCTATTGGAACGGGGTTCTATGTGGGGTTTTTAAAGTAGAAATAGGGTTTCCAATTTTTTGCCTGTGAAACATATAACTTTGCAATGTCTTTCTGAACCATTTTATAAAGCACAAAAACAAATAATTAAGTATATCGAAACGTTACCATCCGCCAAATGATAACGGAGAAAAATTATTTGATTAATTGATTAAAAATTAATTTAAAATGTTTATGTTATTCTTAAGAATAGCAAGTAAAATGTTGTAGATTGCTAGATTATGGATATAGTTTGATAAAATGTGGCAATTTCCCTTATTTCAAACTAAGCTGTAAACATTTCGATAAAAAGACACGCTCTTACTCTCCCTATGGCAGCAAACCCAAGTACTCAAAATTAATGTTATTTGAATAGGGAATAAATCTGACTACTTAAGGGAAAATATTTGATTCGCTTTGTCTGAAGGTTTGCTGCGGTGGGGGTGTGTTTAAAATGTTCCAACTCCTTTTTTTGTCCACGCTATTCTAGTGGCATTTTTAATTTTTTTTAAAGGTCCTAAGGAAATCTGGTCTTGTTAATGGTTTTTTTTTTTTTTTTTATAGTAGGTCTATGATTAATAGATAGTTAATTAACAAATGACATCTGGGTATGGTGATGATCACTTGGAATCGAACCAGCGACCTTTAGAATTGAAGGCGAGCACTATAACCACTCAGCTACACAGACAACACTTTCTGTATTTTCATTTTCTGTACAAAATGTAACAATAGTAACGTCATGTAGACATCTTCTGGGAGATAAAAATTGATATCATTGCTGAAGGTAGGGTGCAAATGATCCCGTATATGTATAATAACTTTTGGTGTTGATATTTAGCTACTTACTGTAATCAAAATTTTAAATCCTTTGTAAAATTTATAAGCAAATACATACACAGATATTTTAGGGATATAAAGACAGTACATCTATAATTTAAAATTCTGTGATAAGCTTCGCAATTTGGAGATTTCATCAATATCTTAATATAAAAATCCCGTATACGCTGTAATCGGTATAGTTTTGAATTTATTCTATTTTAACATAAAATCTTTAAAAAATCGGAATTCAAAGTTTTTAAACCTCCCCCTCTTCTAACACTACATGAAGATTTGTGCTACAGGACAGGTATGAACAAAATTCAAAATCAAAAATGGTGAATCAATTCAAAGCTACCCAGAAACTAAAAATATATTAGTTAAATGATCGCAGTTTTATCTATCTAATATCATTTAATCAAACTAAACGTTAATTTATCGCCATAAAACCCACATAAACAAAGTAAGCCCGTTACGAAACAGATAAGCATTTTTAATTACCTGTTGTCACACATAATGCGTGGATGCACACGCTACTGTGAAATTGGAATTCAATTATTTCAGAGCTGCTTTCAAACATGCATTGATAAAAAACTTTATAATCATGTATTTGCAGTAGTATGGTAGAAGTGACATTTTATTCATATTAATATTTTTTAATTTTTTATTTTTAACTTAAACGGAGGAGTCAAAAGAGGAAACGTATATGCTTAAAGAAACAAAATTACTTCTTCGAGTTCCAAATTTTCGTATATCATTCAGTTTATTTCTGAAAACGTTAATATTGATCTATAACCAAACCAGATATTTAAAACAGCCCAATCAAGTATAGATTTCAATTTATTACATGACACACCTGTATGCAAAGCAGACTGAGTGGTTCATCAACCCATACCCTGGGTACGGTATGGATCAACAGGTGAACCAAACCACGCATCGTAACCAAACTTAGGAAACGTAGATTTTTGACTTAATTAGGCGCAGTGATGTTTAGTTTTCCTCAAATAAAATACAAAATTTATCTAAATACTAATTACACATAAATAAACCGGTGAATTACTACAAATACTTTACACTAAGATAAAACTTAATTATTATTATTGGATATGAAAAAGGTGAAAAAACTTACCAATTATAAAAGATTACACAAAAATCACAAGAAGGAAGATCGGTTCCGGTTCAGCCTTGAATTTCACTATTTGGCTACCATTTTGATTGTACTAACAAGTCGCTAGTGAACGCACCTATTGGACTGTAGAGTTTCGCACAGTCGCCGCTGGCAGCGCCACTGTCAGGGGGTGTGGGTCGATATTGGGGGATGATTCCTCCCCCACCCCCGCCCCCACCTGATTCACCCCGGTGTTGATAATGGATTCATTTTCATAACTCCGAGTGGCGTTGACAACTGCTATTGATAGCGTTTCCCGTCTCCGTGAACAAATAAGGACGGTGAGTTTTTGTTTGATGTAGGAAAGTGGAACTTGTCAATCAAGCAAAAGTTTTTGTAGTGTGCCTTCAAGTCAAATGCTGCTGGTTCGATGTTTTGATCGATTATGTCTGATTGTCATTGGGTCATCAATTTGTCGTCGTAAGAAAGCGCGAGACTGGAATTATGACGAACGAAAATCAGAAACTAAATTCTGTAATGACAAAATCTAGGATTTAATACAACACAAGAAATAAGCTTGGGCTCTTCACAAAACTAAACAACAAACTAACTTGATTATATAAACAATCCAAACACATAACAGTAAATTGAAATAGGTGCTGGAAACAAACCAGTCTTTCAGCAATAAACAGATGCCAGACCCTCAACAAAAGTAGAAGATAGAGATTGGAGTTTTAAACTTGAACAAATTCCCAAATATTAGTAGTTTTATCTAATAAAAGATTGACGTAACAAAACCAGGATTAGCGAATAGGCCTATATGAAAAAAGCGCACAACGAATAAAGCGCACTTGTGCGCTATATATATATATATATATATATATATATATATATATATATATATTTGTGCGCTATATATTGCCATGCTCTTGAGCCGATATGACACTTCTGCCAAGTTCCTGTTGAATTGTAGAATTGCTATATTAGGTGACACAAACGCTGTAAGCACAGACAATGGAATAAACATTAAAGTATTATATTGTCTGTGCTGTAAGGTTGGCACAACAAAATCAACAATCTTCTTGGACGAGGACCGAGGACGACACAACCCCAAAGTTAGAGATGCCATACTTTGTTTAAATACTGAAGCGGAAGAATATCTAGGATTTACATGAGGATAGATCTGGATTGCTAGAAAAAATATAAAGGAAACTTACGTCGAGTTAGATGAGAAACTGAAAAGGACTGTAGAAAATTACGAAGAATACTTTAACATGAACGCTTGTTTCATACCTAAAGACCTCCTGTCACGAAGAAGAGCATATATATAAGGAATATGTATATAAGGAAAGAATTTAAATAGTTAACAAATACATTTACGATGCACTCTAAACTGTAAACATATTTAAAAAGTTAACATTGGTGAAGCTATACTAATGCTGATTGTAACTCCAAAGGATTAACTGTGAGCTTACTTCACAGTGCGTTTTTTACGCTGAGCGCTTTCTTCGCACCCTTCTTTTAACGTAAAAAAACAACAATGACGTAGGGGAAAAAAACAAGAAATAAAACATAGAAGATTAACAATTTACAAGGCTTAGGAATAAATGAAGAAACAGCTAAATATCTTAACATTAATAAAGCTAAATACATTAGTTATATTACATTTGGTTATACTGTTATACCTAATGGTTATTAACTTGTCCATAATCTAAAATACCCAGAAAATATATTAACATATTTCATAGTTCATTATTTATTACCTAAATTAAACGTAGTAAAAATTTTGTATTTTCAAAAGCAACAAAAGACAGCAGAACAAAAGTAACCAGTAACACCCAAGTTTTCCCGGCTTTATTTCCACGCTCGGGTTGTACGAAGTTGGCATTTTATTGGGAAGGACAGAATAGTTGAGAGAGTGGGTTTCGCTATAAACCACACTTACCTTCAGCCAGATGCTGGATAAACTTACTAAACCTAACTAATGTTTTAGGAAAGTCTATCCACTAGCTGTAAAGTAGTTCCAGTATTTTGATATGGAGCAGAACACTCGCAATGTCCTGATTTTTAAACTCTCTATTAAAATGTTTACTACTTTTAAAATCATAAATCAGGAAATAATGACAATATTTTCACATATTTAAAATAAACACAATCATCATATTGGTTTTTAAAACTAAGTAAAGTCGAACGTGGTTTCATCAAAACAACTTTGAAAAATGGTTGTTTACACGCGGTTGGGACACGAAAATAGCTGGACGTAATCTTGTTTTCGAGCTATCCAATAATACAACTCGGTTGTGGAACTTTCCATTTTATTTCTAACTTCACTGCTAAAGTCAAATTTTTATATAATCTGTATATTAATTGGCAAGCGTGTTTCTTTGAAGCATTTAACTCGTGTGCATCGCAGGGAAAATCTGCGCATACTGTTGGAAAGATATTTTTCTGTAGGTGTGCAGAGTCCCTTTAAAAAAATGAAATAGGCAAATTATGAATTTTAAATTTTAAAAATAAAATGAGCTTTACGGGTTGCTATGCTGGTGACGAAATAACATCGAAATAAAAAAAATCTATACAAATGGAAGAAATTCAAATCACATGTTTTATTTACAGCGTGGGGTGAAAATAATAAAAGTCTGTACATTACATACTTTTGGTCGAGTTTTCGACCACTGGACGACCTCTAGTATTAGTTTATGCACGCCATTTTGGATAAGGATCAGCTGAAGAAGTTTCAAGCAATGTTTCTGAACTGTAACGTGGATTATGTTTTGATAACTACTATATATAAACTCGAAAACCATTGTATTTACTGGGCTGACATTTTGCACAAATGTGATCATGACCTCTTCCAACCTATACTACGTTTCATGTTTTTAAAATCTCTTCAGGCTAAGGTTTTACCATTGTCTATTGGATACTGAATGTTTTACAAATATGATGAGATTCGAGAATTTGTTGGTAATATTGACGAGTTGTCATGGGAAGTTAAATGAAAACCATGAATATTTATATTTACGATATTTACCTTGTCTTACTGAAGATTGAATTATACAACCTGATTCCAATTTTGTCAAATGAAATGGTACAATAGTTTGGTTTTGTTACTGTAGTATAAGTGGTGGAAAATTTGTTTTCTGCAGATGAAAAACTATAATATTACTGTCTGTGTCTTCACCCCGTTGCGATGCTCGGACAAAGCTAGTTTATTTACATTTCACTAACCTTAAAACTTTTTTAAGTGAATAAATGCTATTTGTACAATATTTTTATACCTATGTAACCGTACACGAAAGCCGTCAACAGGATTACATGTTACAGTAAAAAAAGAAGTAATTCTTGCTTTAGCCAAAGTCAATGATACCGTCATGTACGTGTTTTGTATGTTTGTGTATATTTACAATGTGGTATACAAAATACAATTTTCATTACACTGTCTCAAAAACAGCCGTCACGGATCGTTTTGAGTCCCTAAAGATAGCTTTTTGCGGACTAGTCCTTAAATTTTTACGACTCGAATCATATTGTTATGTCAAAGCTTATCTCAAAAACAAATCAGCTGTTCTGATCCTTTAAAATGCTTCAACAATATACAAACAAACTTTGTTTGTTTCGTTCCCTTTTATAATCAAAGGGTTTTGGCTATATTTTTTATTTTCTGCTATAATATAAAATGACATATAATGAAAAATATTGTTCGTAACTCAACCTAAAATGCTTGTTTTGTGACTTAATCGAATCTCACACGATATCGTCCCAAAAAAGCCTACTTTAGGTGACTAGTAACGAAAACTACTATTTTCGATTTTTTTTTTCGTGTAAGCCATAAATGGGAAAACAACTACTGTGAGTGTGATCCGTCTGAGAGACTATTTCACGTAAACGAACTTTTAGGGACCAACACAACATTGTAAATGGTAGATTAAATGTGTAGCATGTAAACTTTTGGTACCGCAAACCTATTAGAAATGTTTTGCTTTGGAGTATCCGTGCGTAAAGTAAATCAAAGAAAACAAACAGAAGTGTTTGTTATGAAGTCTCTTGAGGCCGCTAACATTTTTCACATTTTAGCAAACGTTTTCTCCTGTTTCTAAGATCCGGTTTGCATTCGACGTGTGAACGGTTTGTCAGTTAGCACAGAGTATATAACAAGACCAGTGAGAGTGCATAGAGTACAGTGTTAAAGAGAAAGATGGGGCGAACATTGTACTTACTCTGTGTTTTTCTTCTCGTCACCTGTGTTCGTGCGGCCTCACTCCATCAAGACAGCTTAGGTACAATTTATTTTTCTGTAATCAATAATGTGTTCCAAGTTAAGTGATTTCTTTGTACAGTTGGATTTTTTAGCTAGAAGTGGTTAACCTGTGGTGAAATATCCTTGAAGATGAACCTTTTTGGCTCTATGCGATCATTAGTTCATACGTGTCAAAATTTGAGGTTAAATAAAAACAAACAAACTGGCATGTTGTCAATTAGTCATATAGGGCCGTGTTTTATTACTTACGAAAGAATGCTCATTTAAGATAAAATGAATTAATTTACTATATTTCATTGTATATATTAGAAAACATTCAGTATTTAGGCTGAAGAACATTCAATACTAGTATTTTAATATTTGCTCATATAGTTAGTTATTTTCAAAGCAACCATCACTTATAATTTAGAGATAGTAATTTTATAACACCTTATTTTTTTGTTGATTTAAAATTAGGAATCACGTCTCTATTTCACAGTAAATACTCTCTAAATGTCCAAGTACTTTAAGTAGGCTAGAGTAAGTTTAAAGTAGCCTATATAAACTATTGCCAATTCCAAGAATATGCTAGTTTGTTTGTTTTGATTTAACCCAAAAAGGCTCATCTTCAAAGATATTCCACCACACCTTAACCACCTCTAGCTAAAAAAATCCAACTGTACTGGCTAGATCGTAATATTAGTTTATTTTCACTTTTACACTATAAGAAATCCAAAATGACTATACAGGGTGATTGATATAAGTGTGCCAGCCGTTTTATTCGAAAACTATAAGAGATATCAAAAAAAGTTAAATGGTAAGTGCCTTGGATTTTTTATTTAAAAAATTGTAGTCAAGTCAAAAAAAATATTTTAGCCGCCATTTTTC